CCTTATTATGTGATTCTAAAATTTGAATGTTTATGCTTCATTATGATCTTAATTAATTTATTAAATTTATATGCTAAACATCTCATATAAATGACTCTGGGCTTATTGTTGAATTAGATTGTACTTTCTAATTTTATCATGCAACACTCTGGGAGTGCTTACATTTATGCTGGTCTTTTAATAGCTTATAATTATAATAGTTATTATAATAGTTTATTATTATGCATTCACTCTTAAAAAGAATAAGACACATATTCATCAGAGGATTGATTTTTCAATCGCAAGTTTTTAATTAAGGGCCAGTATATTCTATAGCGCTCCAGAGTCATTATGTTGAAATAAGTAGACAAATTCATCAAATAAATAAATAATACTGCTCTGAAAATGCCCTAGCAAACACCCATTCCAGTAACAATGCCCCAGCCATTTAGAAGCACATACTGTATTGATTACTACAGTAAGTTAAACATGTCCTTGTTTTCTGCCCATTCATTCTATTCTGTCTGTGGATTTGAGGTTCTTGATTGGAAATAGACATATATGGCATTTCAAAATTGTTCATCAAAGATATGGAAAGACAAGGCGGTTGAACAGTTTATTTGAATGTATCCATGTGAAAGCTGTGTTTTCCAACACACATTCGCAAAGGCACTGCTTCTTTAAGCAGCAACAATTACTGAAAATTCTTGGTGGATAGAGTTCTTCCTGATGTTTTCATGGAACGCACGGGAAGCCAGGGAAATGGAAGACTGCTGGAGAACTGGTGATGCAAAGAAATATAGCCTGATTACCTCTTAACTAAATCAAGTTATTGATGAGCAACAATACACCGATGAAAATATTTCTGAAATAATACATATTAAACAGGTAGAACTAGCAATGAAACTTCTTTACTTGGTACACTGCTTGATAGAAAGAGAGCAGTCCATCGGTCTTCAGTTTTGCAGCTGGGATAGAGTCAAGCCATCAAAGGAAGATAATTTTGCCTTTTAGGAATGTTGCATATGGTTTTTATCCCTACTTGAGCTTGTAATAATAATCATAATCATGAATAAATCCAACAGGAGAAAAATATATCCTTAGGTCAGCTACTGGATTTATTGAGATTAGAAATGACTCTACTTTTCATTGTGCCACTCATGATTGGTTGATTCAGAAATGATTTATTTCCAACATCATTATATAATAATTGCTTTACATCCTGAGAAAATCCAATATTTGCAAAAGAAATCCCTCTTATTTAGTCCTGTAAATACTCCCTCTTTCTTTTCTAAATATACATGAGACCCAAATGGCAGAACACTGATAGCTCACAAAGAAGGGAGCAGAAAAAAGATAGAACCCTGTTCTAAGAGTCTTGTCTTCCAGGATACATGCATCCAGCAATTCTCAAATGTGAAAATTGTTAATCTATTAACAAATGTACACTGTGTAACTTCCTGCTAAAAATGGCTGATCAGCCAAAGATTCCGGGCATATCAAGGAAATGATAGGCTAGTTAATTAAGCAGCTGTTCTGGAAAAATGGGTGGAAAAAGTTATTATAATGAACTTGAGAAGAGCAAATAGAGAAGAGGGAGTCAAGCTATTCTCCAAAGTGCCTGAAGGCAGGACAAGAAGCAAGGGGTGGAAACTAATCAAGGAGAGAAGCAACCTAGAACTAAGGAAAAACTTCCTGACAGTTAGAACAATTAACCAGTGGAACAACCTGCCTCCAGAAGCCGTGAATGCTCCAACACTGGAAGTTTTTAAGAAGAGACTGGACAGCCATTTGGTCTGAAATGGTATAGGGTTTCCTGCCTGAGCAGGGGGTTGGACTAGATGACCTGCAAGGTCCCTTCCAACTTTACTACTACTACTACTACTACTACTACTACTACTACTACTACTACTACTACTACTACTACTACTATTATTATTATTATTATTATTATTATTATTATTATTATTATTATTATTATTATTATTATTATTATTATTATTATTATTAAATAGTCCTGGACAGGGCTTTTTTTGTCATAGAAGGCCCAGAACGGAGTTCCGGCACCTTTTTTGGATGGAACCTTGTAGGGTAGGTAAGGCGGATTGTATGACGTGTGTGAGTTCCGGCACCTTTTTTTTTTTTTTTTTTTTTTAGAAAAAAAGCACTGTCCTGGAGAAGAATCAGCATGGTAGAAGAGAATATTTGTAGCTCAGGGTTGAACTGCAGAGTCCTTGGTGCTCTCTGAGCCTGGTTATTTCCGTGCAGATGCTTCATTACCAAACTAGGTAATATCATCAGTGCTAGTAGGAAGTGAGGTTCGCTCTCATTTGCTCTTCCTACTAGCACTGTTGATGTTTTCTAGGCCTTGAAGAATCAGCATGGTTTCTGAACAAATAATATTACTGCTTTTGAAGTTTAGCACATTTTAGTAGGCTCTCAGAGTCTTTTGTCATAATCTTGAGCATATTTAGCAGTGATGGAATAAGAGGGAAGGAAAGAATTGATTGGTAACTGATAGGTGAACACGATTGAAAACTGGATAAAAAATATTCCGTGTTTTTGCCGTCTGTGATTTTTGTTGAAGGGAGAAAGAAAACGGGAAAGACATGAGATCATAAAAAAGATAAATGGTCTGATAACAGTACTGTAGGGGGACAATAAAGATATTCAAATCATCTTATTTTCTATAGGAGATTTAAAAATGCTTTTTCATTTCTTTTGCTAACCCAAAATGTTCTGAAAATCAGTAAAATTTGGCTGAGCTGTTTTTAATATAGCAGGAAAACAATTTTGCACAGGAACTGCCCAAATGATGCAGAAATCCAAACAATTTCTATTTAAAATTGGATAAATGCTATTAAATTGATTCCTTGCATACATTGGCAGATTATCTTCCTGAATTTCAGAATGAAATAAATGTGAATACATAGTGCCCTCCTATGGCTAAAAAGTATATTCTATGAAACTGTAGTTGCCAAACTACAGTGCAGTTATAAATCAAGGAAGGAAGGAAGAGAGAAAGCGAAGAGAAGGGAAGAGAAGGGAAGGGCAAGCATCTAAAAGAGCTCATCTCCCAAACTGCGTACAACAGTAAACTATTCTAGTTGCTTTCCTGGCCAATGGGGAAATAAATAGACGTGTAGCAAAGCGTTATCCATAATTTGCTGTTGTACCCGGGATTTCTGGAGAGAATGGGTGGGGACTACAGTATGTATTTTCCCACATTGTGATTCACCTATTGAGGCTGTGTGTTGCCAGAACCACTAATAAGGAGGACTGACTGGATTAGTGAATAATTGAGCTACAGTAAGTATGTTGTAGGATAGTGTCTGGTTCTCCTTTGGACCACCGCTTCTGATCTGCGTTTATATAACCAGTCTGAATTTAAATGATGTTTTCAGTTTGTTGCTAAGAATGATCAGTGATTCTATTGCATTTCAATGCTCTTAGAGTAGAGTAGAGATATTATATATTCTCAAAAACATTACTGGGCAGTTTGATTTAATTTTCAAACAGAGGAGGTGAAAATGACATTATAATGCTTCTAACTGCAAATGCACCTCAGTTTGAATTTCCTGCTTTATTAAGTTAAGGGCTGCAATATAAAAAGAGGGTTACCCAGTGAGAATTTATCATTGCATTGGCTTTTCGATAGAAGATTTCTTTTTCCCATGCATAAAATTCTGGAATTTAAGATCCAAGCAACATTAAATCAGTTGGTTTTCTAGACCAGATGTCCCCAACCTTTTGGGCACCAGGAACCGGTTCCGTGGATAACGTTTTTTCCATGGACCAGAGAAATTATTTTTTTTGTTGTTAGAGCACATCATTTTAAAATTTGGTCAACACATAATACCATTTTTCTTTAAAAAATAATGGCAGTGTGGCTATTCATCGGATATGTGTATTTTAATATAAACTTTAATTGTTTTATTTATTTATTTGATCTTGCTTTAGGTTAGGCAGTTTATAGATTTAACTTGTGTTGAGTCCTGTGAAATATCACATGGAATGGTGTAAAATTCTGTGTACTCTAGCTCTTTGCTGACTATGCCTGTCTGACTCCCAAGGGCTTTGATAATTTTTTTATACATTTAATTTATATAGCTGCCCATTTCAACCAATGACACTATGCAGCATACATCATAAAAACATTAAACAATTAAACAACTAAAACAATACAGAATAAATATACAGTATATGGACGGTGAGTAAAACTATTGGCATAGATGTTAATATAGTCAACATTCAACACATTTGGTTGCCAGGCTTCTAGTCATAATTGAAACTATAAAACCTGAATTCTTAAATAGTTGAGACAGGTGAACAGGGATCACTAAACCTTACAATTATCACACAGTCCTTTCCTGAAAGGAACATAGGTAAAATCAATGGCCAACATGGTAGGCATGAGCACACATAGTATCGAGGCAACAACAACAACAACAAATGAACTTAAATAAGTAACATATTCTTAGAGGATGGAATCCAGCAATTAGTTGACATACAATACTTTAAAATATTCTCCAGCTACTGAGGCCAAATTTTAGAATGTATTTTTTGGCGGGTGGGTGGGGTTGATGGGAGTTCAGCTGTTGAGTACCTGCTAAATAACAGCTATAAGAATGGAATAACTCTTCTCTGGACCAGTGAATCTCTGCACATCATAAAAGATTGTGAGTTAGTTGCTTTGCAAGTGGCTATAGGCACAGGTAATATAACAATAAAAACTGTGTAAGTCTTTCTGAATAAATTAGATGTAGATAGCTCTACCAGTTCAGTTGGAAAACTTGAAAAATTAGCCTGTGATTAGCCAGTGAGTAAAAATAAAATTATTGCCAATCTTTTAGCTGTATCTTGCTCTATATATTAATCAGGGAGGGCATATCTATTATTCACAAGTGTTTTGTAAATGAGAGTGTGTAATCACAATGATTTATGTCATTTGCATGATGCATTGTTATGCAGATGATATACATTGACTAAAATGATATAATTTACTTTTTTTTTTAATTTAGGAAAGAGGACACCGAAGAAAAAGGATAAGAAGAAGAAAAAAAAGAATTTAATGGAACAAGCTCAGAAGCAGCACAGTTTTTTCCTAGCTATAGACCGAGCTAGTCAATAGAGACATTTGCCCAGAGCCTGTTGGTGATACATGTGGGTTGTTTTTTTAGTTTATATCTTGTTTTGTTTGTTTTGCAAATACACAGAAGCTGCTATTAGCTCCTGCATGAGGAAGCAATGCAATTCAGCTGGCCAGACAGCATTTGGACCTGGGGAAAGAGGAGAACATCCACAAGCTTGTTTGTGTGTGTTATTTATACTTTTATGATTAATGTGGTTCTTATTGTTCTCATTGTTCCCCAAACTTGGTCTCTCCAGGACTGAAGAAAAGCACTGAGTTCAATCAGTGGAAGTGTGTCAAAAATGTCTTTTGAGGGTTCCCTTCCCCCTTTCATTTAAATTTGGTGCCTGCAAGAAGGAAATATTTGACTTCTTGGCACAGGACTTTGGAGACATCAAGGACTGCATGGCACCATGGGATAAGTTCCTATTTCTACAAGGCGAAGAAATTGGGAAGTTAGAATTGAATATTGTTTTTCAAACTGTACATTTTCAAGACTGAAGGATACCAAGAAGATATCTATAGGTAACACACTTGGTCCTCAGCACACCTGCTATACTGGAACAGCTGTATAGTCAAACTGCTCTTGACTGATATATGGAATTATGGCTTAGTATTTCAGGAGCATAGTGGTTCCCATGTGTACATATCATGCTGTCTACATATAAATAAACCTATTTACATTAGAGTTGCGTCTGTTTTCCATGTGTGCAGTTCATCATTTGAACACATAAAGATGAGTGCTCAAAATGAAATATAATACTGTCCTTTATACAAATCTGTCCAAGCCAGCTTTGACTGTTGACAGCCTGACAACATAGCTTGCTCTTATGAAGTTTAGTGTTTTCCTGGCAGTGTGAACCTATCTCTGAAATCTTTTCTTCAAAGACTATCTGCTGGCTATGATCAAGTGATGACATTCCATTCGAAAACAAAACCACTTTCTAGAGTTGAACCAAGCCATATTTCTATAATAATAATAATAATAATAATAATTAATAATAATAATAATAATAATAATAATAATAATAATAATAATATCCTGGTATTCTGTAGTTTTTTTTAAAAGGAAATAGACTAAGAAAAGAAATTAAAAGGTAAATAAGTTCAGTGATGTTAATTCTGAATGAACTTGCAGAAATTGTAGGGAGACCTCTTTACCCTCAAATGGTTGTTGAGCTACAGATGATGATGATGATGATGATATCCATTCAGTCATCTCTGACTCTCCACGATTCTATGGACCTGGTCTCTTCAGTCTTGTTATCTTCAGATCTTGCACTATTTCTTTGAGTTGTTCTATGCTCTGGCTGTTGTCAGCTTTGATGATGTCCAGCCACTGTGTTCTTTGGCCATTTGGTTTCCTTTTACTGCTAAGTCTTCCAAGCATAATTGAATTCCCCCACACGACACAGCCAAAATAAGAGCCACAAATGTCCACCTGTAATTATGATGGCTAACATGTTTGGGAATTGGAATGTAATCACATTGGAAAGTTTCCTGCCTCTTCTATAAGATCAGTAAGAGGCAGCATCTGGAGCATTGAAAATAAGAGAAATGTCTTTCAAAATCCATTATTGGCCTTCCCCAGTAAACCAGACAGGAAACATGACTAGAGGAGCTAAATCTACTTTATTGTAAGGCTACATTGATAGAACCTTCCAGGTCTGAAGGAACCAACTTCCCATCATCACTTTTAACCATCTGACCTATTAGGGGGGGGCCTTCCTAAGTTTCTTTCTCTGCCCCTTAAGCTCTTGGAGGCTGCTCCCTCTCTTGTCAGTTTGTTTCCTAGGCAGCATCTCTTTCCCTCTTGTCCCCCAAGGCCATCCACACATTCTATTACATCCACCAATTGATGATTCCCACTGGTGAGTGAATACCTACATAGGGTGCTCTTCCATAGTGAAATAATATAATCAAATTATTATTATTATTATTTATTGAATTTATATACCGCCCTATCTCCCTTACGGGACTCAGGGCGGTGAACAGGCGATAATAAAAACCACAATAAATATACACAAATTTCTGTCTAAAATCAAATTTAATAACAGGCCTGCTCTAAAAATACCCCATACAAAACCCCCACTAAAACATAATCAAACTACGCCAGGCCGGCCGCACGGAATAGATGAGCCTTCAGGGCTCGGCGAAAAAGGCACAGGTCCGCAACTGTACGTAAGTCGGGGGGTAGGTCATTCCAGAGGGCAGGAGCTGCCACAGAGAAGGCTCTCCCCCTGGGGGTCACCAGCCGGCATTGTCTGGCCGACGGCACCCTAAGGAGGCCCTCTCTGTGGGAGCGGACTGGTCGAAGGGAGGTGTTTGGTAGGAGGCGGTCTTGCAAATGGAGGTGCTTAGCATATAACAACACACTGTGAATGTGGAGAGATTTATAGCTTGGCCTATCTGCTGGTATATTGGCCTCTACCAGAAACAAGTACTGATAACAGCAATAGCAAGAGCACTTACACTTATATACTGTTTTTAGTGCTTTACATCACTCTCTAAGTGATGAGTGATGAGCCTATTGCCTCCAACAATCTGGGTCTTCATTTTACCAACCTCAGAAGGATGGAAGATTGAGTCAACCTTGAGCTGGTTGGAACTGAACTTCTGTCAGTGGGCAGAGTTAGCCTGCAATACTGCATTCTAACCACTGTGCCACCACTTATTTTTGGCCAATGACAAAGCCAAGAAGGTGGCTTCATTCTGGCAGTTTAAAGTTTGACCTAGACATGAAAGAAGAAGAAGAAGAAGGAGAAGAAGAAGGAGAAGAATAATGAAATAATGGCTCACTACAGAAGGAACTTTGTTTTGTCTTATCTGGTCCACAGGATTAATTAAAATATATTAAGCAATCCAGTCCTGAAAAATTAGTTTTAAGTGATTTTTTTTCTTCACTGCTATAGTCTTTTATTGAATGTGCACCCCAGCCCTGTCCTCCCACACCCAGAATTCCAGATCCTGTGATATTTATTCCTAAATTCCAAAGGATATTAAACTTGAATTCAGCTAGAAAGAAACCTTCAACCACATCAAATTCAAAGCTTTATAGTGAAGATGATGAATTTCTAGGCACGCAATCCTGCACAATATTGGTTGCAGACTAAATCATTACCCACAACCAGAGTGGATCACTTCCCCACTCCAGTCCCACTGCCACTTCCATGTCCTTAAAATTTTGAAAGTTCACCAATGCCACCAATGGTGTCATATTTTGAAGCTGCTGTTACTCATTTGTGAGAATCAAAGTAGAGAAAACATAACTATGAAGCGTGCCTTCTATTTAACTCATTTATATCAAGGACCCATTCTAATTAGCTGGGGTAATTAACTTGGTATGCCTTGTCATTAAAACTTCCAGTAAAGTGATTCAAAGATTTCCCATTTGGAAGTGTTAAGCGACCACCAGCAACATTCCTCCATGGACTTAATACCAAAAGCAAAACCTTATTCAAATGCCTTAATTGAAAAGGAAAATATTTCAATTGGCAAGCGACGTTTCGACGAAGTCACATTCGTCATCTTCAGGCTGGTGTCTTCAGCTTCGTGCTTCTAAGAGTGGTGTGTGATCGCAGCTGTTTCTTCCTTTTAACTGCCAGTGGGGTTGGAGCTGATTGGGTGGGAGCTTGGCTGTGTTCTGATTGGGTGGAGGTGTGTTCTGATTGGTTAAGGAGCCTGGCTGTGCTCTGATTGGATGGGGGGTTTGCTGGGGGGGTTGGCTGGGGGAGTGTTCTGTTTGGGTGGGGGCTTTGTTGTGCTCAGGTTAGTTTGAGTTGCAGGGGGATTTGAGATGGTGAGCTTCATTGCTGTTGTTTGGCTTCGTGTTCGTGGTCGTGCCACATCTTTACGGTGGGTGTCAGTTTATATATATATATATATATATATATATATATATATATATATATATATAGATAGATAGATAGATAGATAGATAGATAGATAGATAGATAGATAGATAGATAGATATAGATAGATAGATAGATAGATAGATAGATAGATAGATAGATAGATAGATAGATAGATAGATAGATAGATAGATAGATAGAGCGAGCAAGAATTCCCATCCCCAAACATCTTGGAACCAATTATTGTTTTTAATTAAAATATTTAAAATCCATCCTATATTATTTACTGACATACATAAATATGTACATATTTGCATAAATATGCATAAATAATAAAACAGCCTAGTAATATTTAAACACTCAAACCTAGGTTGCCTCAATAATATCAGTCTAACTAGCCAAAATATCACCAGCACCTCACACAAAAATTCATTTAGTGTGTTTTTAGATTAAGTGATGCTTAATGAGCTCCCATTCTTGCTCCAGCTGCCAACCTAGCAGTTTGAAAGCATGTAAATGCAAATATATAAGAACAGAGTAACAGAGTTGGAAGGGACTTTGTAGGTCATCTAGTCCAACCCCCTGCCCAAGCAGGAGAGCCTACACCATTTCTGACAGATGGCAGTCCAGTTTCTTTTTGAATCTTCCAGTGATGAAGCTCCCTCAACTTCTGAAGGCAATCTGTTCCATTGGTTGATTCTTCTCACTGTCAGAAAATTTCTCCTTATTTCTAGGTTGAATCTCTCCTTGATCAGTTTCCATCCGTTATTCCTTGTATGGCCTTCAGGTGCTTCAGAAAATAGGGTGATCCCCTCCTCTCTGTGACAGCCCCTCCAAATATTGGAACACTGCTATCATCATCTCCGTCTGTGTAATGTGGAAGAGAAACTCCTGCATTCCAAATTCCTATTTTACTTAAATAGTAAAGAATTTCACAGTGAGAAAAGTCCTCTGGGTCATATGCCTTAACATGGTCCTGAGGGTGTTTATCATGGCTGTGCTGCATACTGTAAATTTAGGTGATGTAAGATGTTTTTGTTGGAACAAACCTGGGCAAAATTATTGCAGTACTAGTCTGAATAACTGACCACAATCTGAAGTTCTTGGAAGTTGAGGATATTAATTACTGTTTCTAGTGTGCCTTTTATAAATTGACT